TCTCAAAGAATAATTTCGAGATTCCCTTTTTCATAAAGCCATGAGGATGGGATGTTTCATCACCTGTAGCTTCTCATCCAGCAAAATTGGTTTTGTACTTTGTACTCAGCCTTAGTTCGGTTTTCAGTTTCTACAACGATTACCCATGCACTATCGTCCGCCGGTTTTGGTTGCTGTCTTTTGGTGTCCCATTTGGTTAAAAGAGCAGAAAGAAGATTGGAATGTTGAAAACAAATTCAGATGGAAAATATAGAATTCATGTAGAATAGTGTTGGAGGAATAATGAGTGGGTGCATGAGCACCGTTGTTTGCGACACCCAACTCAGTGTCTCTAACCATCGGTGACCATCATCCCGAGGTTCCCAGCGGGGCCCTATGTGACCTAGTCTCCTGGATAGGATTTTCATACCCTCATGCCAGGTCTTCGTTTGACCGCCCTTGATCGTTTTCCATCCACTACCTACCTCGGCAAACATCGCTCGCCGTGACAACCTATCTGGTGACATGCGTAGCACCTGTCTCAGCCAACGTAATCTATGGAGGTCGATCACTTGTTCCAGTGAACGACCGCGACTGCCTAAAACTCTACGGCTTACCTGAGCATTTCTAGTTCGGTTACCCCACCAGACTCGTGCAATGCGACGTGGACAAGTAGTGGCCAAGTCTCTGCACCGTAGAGCAGTACTGTCCGAACTGCTGCAGCGTATACTCTTTGCTTCACAGACAGTCGGATGTCGCGACGGCGCCACAAATGTTTCAAGTTGGCAAATGGCAACCGAGCCTTTTGTATACGCACCGACACTTCATCTGTGATGCGTCCGCCGGGTGAGATATAGCTGCCCAGATAACAAAATTTGTCTACTTTCTTCGCTACTTCTCCAGTCAGAGTGAGACCTACCCAATCTTGTAGTAACATTTTATACTTTGAAGGTGCCAAACGCATACCGAACATGAATATACTAACACTCAAACTATTCAGAAAAGGTTGTAACTTACTTGGATCTTCACTCAGTATCACAATGTGGTTTGCGTACTCCAAATCGGACAGCCTGCCACTTGGGACTTAATCAATGCCACTATCCTCGCACGAGGATAGGGCTGTTTCCATAATCAGATCTATAACAAAGGTAAATAGAAAAGGGGAGAAAAGGACAACCCTGTCGAACACCACTTTCCGTGGTGAACTCGGGTGAGAAAGTGCCGTAAGCTCGGAGTCGGCTTCGGCTATGAGTATAGAGGAATTGTAATATTGAAATAAACTTCTTTCGGAGAATGGCAGCGTCAGAGTTTAGAGTGATGGACTGAGTCGAAAGTCGCTGTAAGATCCAGGAAGATAGATAGACATGGTGGGTCTACGAAAGGAATGTCTGTTCTAGAATTTGACGAACAGTGAAGGTGTGGTCGATACAACCTCGACCAGGTTTAAAACCAGCCTAGTTCTCACGTGTGAACTCCTTTCGTGCGGCAGACAATCAGCCTTGAAGTAGTTGTGGTTAGTCTCCTAGAGTTTTTCTTAGTCGCTGTTTTGTTGCGTCTCGCGCAATGCTCCTATATGACTGGGGATCTCAAATGGCCTCTGATGAGGAAGTCCTATACACTGTCTTCCCGTGACAAAGGTGTTTTCCTTCCAAAGTGAGAGGAAAAGCCAATGTTTTGGAATATAAGCTTATGAATGAACCACTGGGCTTCACCTGGGCGAGTTGATTGTATACCCCGACGGTAATCCAACCAAGAAGTATACCAACGACAATCGCTCATATCTTCCTGGTTGCCGCACGGGTCACCAGCTCGATTGGGCATCGAGGTTTTTGGGACACCTGGAACGTTTGAACCGGGCACCGATCCTCAATGGATCATAATTTTCAGGCACTGCCCCGAGCCTTGCGAGTCAGGCTTTGGCTATCAGAGGACTTTGGTTGTGAATTCCTCAATAAAATTCACCTGTTTTGACCTGGAAGTATTCCATCCAGGTAAAAGCCATAAGCTGATGTGGAGATTATCGTACTATGTTTTGTTCGCCACAGTCTAGATTCATGCAAGTGTGAAATATGATGTTAGATCAAACATTGTATTTCTTTTCACTTTTGAGTCAGGCTTTGGCGAGCTAAAGGCTCCGGTTGTGAAATCCCCAAGAAAATTCACCTGCTTTTGCCAGTATTCTGCCCACAAACAAATCATGGAATGTTTTCTTTTTTTACAGATTATTGTGTAGTGGTTTGTTCGGCACACAGTCTGGCCTCACACGTGTGTGAAATACAATACATTTCCGGTTAAGGAAAGTAAACAGTTTTCAGTTGAGTGGTGTGAGTTACTCATTTTATCAATCTACAAAAAGGCAATAGGTCCTTTTGTAAAAATCGCAGAAAGTAGTTTGATCAAGATTGTCTCGTGGGCATAAAAATCCGCCGCACGTGAATGACATGCCCGTAAAACCAATCTAGTTATAGACCTAGCCGGGGCTGTAGACTACATTTTCATCATTCACTTAGTTCTAGAATGCAGACATTACCCGTGTATACCCAACATTTTTATCTCCTTCCATATAAATGCGGCCTTCGATTCAGTCGGTCCTTCTTCACTCTGGTGTTACTGTTCCCCAAAGGGTGTCCGAGAAGCTTATTTCAATATTACAATCCCTTTATACCAATGACTAAAGCCTAAACATAGTTCGAGTTTACGGCAACTTTTCTCCCGAGCTCACCACGGAAAGCGGTGTTTGTCAGGCTTGATGTCTCTCTTGTATATTCAACTCTGAAAACGACTCTGTCCTCGTGCGAGGATAGTGGCAACAATTTGCTCCTAGGTGGTAGACTGTGATTCGGAATATGTTAGTGATATTGTACTGCTAAGTGAAGACCCAAGTAAGCTGCAAGCTTTTCTGGACGGTTTGAGTGCTAGTGCAGTCATATTCGGCATGCGTTTGACACGTCGAGAGTTTAAAACTTTTCTACAGGACTGGGCCGGTCCAGCTCCCAACCTCTAACTGGGGAAGTACTAGAGGTAGTGAACGAATTTTCTTATTTGGGTATTTGTATCTCACCCCGCGGACTTATCACGGATGAACCGGACAAGCAATGTTGAAGTTCGGCGCAGAGTTTAGGGTAACCACGCAGAAATAGTTCGACCCCCGTCGATTGCGTTGGTTGGTACATTTGTTACAGACGACATCAAACAGTTTGGCAGGGCGCGCGTTCTTTGACTAGATAGGCAATAAGTAGAAAAAGTCAAGGGTGCTCAAACTTTGACCGGTTATGAATATATGAAACTCTGACCAGGAGACTTACTCACATAGATCGCGTTAGGCTTTCTGAATGGAGGCCTCTGGATCATTATAATCGATGGTTTAAGACACTAACTGATATGATTGAGTGTCGTAAACAATAGGGCTCGTGCATCTACTCAATGTCCTTATAACGCTAGTTTTCTTTACTTCTGGATTTTCACCTTAATACATCTTTCAGCATTCGAACCTTCCCTTTGCTGATGAATGCCAACTTTACGACGATTACATTTTTGGGTTAACATAAACAAAAATGCATCGGTATATAATAATCTCATGTTGGTTTTTATTTCGGTGGCTTTCTGAAGGCTGTATCTTCTGCTGATTTCCACGTGACTTGATTGGTTTTACTTCATCATAAAATTATTTAACATCCGAACTTATTCTGTACCTTACAGTATTTGGTTGATTCTATTGTTTATTTCCATTGTTTTCTTGCGCGTGTTTTTAGCATGTATTTCAGCACAATTTGAAAATGTAACTTTTAATACATATTCCATCCGTTTAACTTTCATCAATACGGTAACCAAATTCACTTTTGTTCTTGTTCACGGATTAAGCAGTCCGATTATCCTCATATTCGTACCTTCCGTTTATTGAAGACAATTATGTGAACTTAATACCAGCTAATCACTCTAGGAACTACCGTCGTTTTTGTACGAAGCTGCCCATTATATCAAACGTACAGATGAGACAGGCGATTGATTCATCTACACAACCGAACTAAGACAAGGAATACGATCTTACTGGTACAATAATCACTCTTCAGTCAGGTCGTCCTGGTTTCACCCCTGTTGGGTGGTGGTGGCGAAGTGGTGTAGTAGCTGTCACCAGCGTGCTTCGGACTCTGTGTTCCGAGGTTCAGGTCTCGCCTCCGCCACCCAACTCTGGCCACAGACAGCTTTGTTGTCGTCCGGTACACTATTGCGCCAAACCTAGTGGGGCTTTATGTGGTTCGTCACTCCAGTCCTGGGTTTTGGATTACCGGTTTTCTTAACTGAACAGCAGGTCTTCGTGACAATGGGGTTCGCCCCGTCTGCTGTTCATCACATAAATGTGTGTAATAAAAAAATACTGCTTTCCCCTTTGCTTCTCATACTATTGCTGGTATAGATTCCATGCATCCGACTCAATCGGTTGCACCCAATAGTTTTTGCGCAATGGAGTTGTGACGATTGCTTTCTGCTGCCGGGCGCTTTAATTTGTCTGCTAACTTTGCTCCAATGCTTTGTGTCCTGAAGTGACCCCATTTCCTCTCGTAATTACATTTAATGGATCACAACCACCTTTTGACACGTAAAATGTAATGTACTACTGCTATGAGATCATTCGATTTGCTTTCATTGCTGGAAAATGTCTTCACTTTTGCGATCGGTTGTCTATTTGCATCTGCTTTCGTCCGGCTCGACACCACACTTTTCATACAGGGCTTTATTATATGGTTCGAATCTCATCGGTGATTTTGTGTGACCAATCATGGATGTGTCAATTTTTATTCGCAGACATAAACCATCCTTCGGGCGCGCATGGAACATCAGGTTATTCTTATCCGTCCAGTGTACCAGGACAGGCGGTTCGTGTAAACGAGAACCATAGTCTGCAGAAGGAAATGCACAGCGTGATTGCAAAATTGAATGCATGTGACCCTTCTGCGTCAAAGACTGATGAATCCCTTTCTTCAAAACATTCTGCATCAAGTAAATCGCGGAGCGATCACTCAATGCGGGACCAAGCGGTACGTGTCACTCCCGTGCTAGAAGCAGGATCTGGAGAGATGTTTCATGTTCCTGTCAGTTCCCATCATCCGAACGCTGAGAGTTCCGATGAGGATTTCTTTGATGCTGAAGAAGCAAACTCCGAGTTCTCAATCTATTTACCGCCGACCAGCGAGCCGGTTGGAGAGGCGCTTGATAGATCCGAAAGCGGCGCTACTTTGGAGGGTTCGCATTCGACTCCGCGGTCAGATTCTACATCAGCGATGTCAACTAGCTTGTTAGATGAGGGTAATGGTATTCCCCCCGTAAATGAGGTTGCATACGAATACGAATCTGATGTTTATTGTACAGATGAAGACGAGGACGATACTGGAAGCCAGATGAAAGCTAAAACACGGAAGCCCTTAAGGGAAGCTCGGGTTATACAACCTCGCACAAGGAGACACGAGAGGTAGGTTATAATAAATCACTGGTACCTTGTTTAGTACTTTTTCTTGTTTTCTCTGTTTTGTTGTACATTACGTAACTCAAAGCTAACCACATAGGCTCTGAAAACTGGAACTTGTATATCAAAGAAGAACACCAAGGTACAATTTACCACTTGTTTTAAAAGGTCAGTGAATGAACGTATGCGAGGTAAAATCGTCTTCCTGGTTTCAGTTCCAGTATGTACAACCATTAACCATGCACTAATGTGCACCAGTTTTGGTTGCTATCTTTCGGTGCCCATTTGGATGAACATTTGGAGAAGGACAGGAAAGGTTGAAAGTAGAATCGAAGAGAAAGTTTGAAAGTTCAGTGGACTAATGATACAGAGAAATTAAGAAGATGCACGAACGCCACTGTAAACGACACCCAGCCATATCACTCAGTGTCTCTAACCATCGGTGA